TTTTTGTTATTTTTTTTGCTTATTTTTGGTATTTTCTATTTTTCGTCGAAAATCCCCCTGTAGGGGCACAGGCCCGACTTAATACTCGTTTTGGAGAGGGCGCTCCGAGTCACTCTCTCCTGCCTCGTCCTTCCTGCACCGACTCGTCCGGGCGAGGAGGAGGACGGGGCGGGAGGGCGCGGTCTTGGGAGGACAGGTCTTGAGTTGGAGGCTTGCACAACGCAGTTGCTTGTGGTGATTGCGATCAGCTCGAATCCACTGTGGACCGGCACGCGCGACGATAACATCGTAGAGCCGCTGTTCAGAGATTGAAGGAGGCAACTATCGACCTCCCGAGTACAGTTCGAAAACTTCCTATCTGGACGGAAGAGGGAGGGCTCATGGGCGGGCGACCCGCATACGGTAAGATTGTGCCAGGGCGCACTTCGGCGTCCCATCCCAGCGTGGTCGAACCAAGTAGTGCGGCTCGTGGCCACGCATTCTCCCCAGTGCAGGTGGCAGATCGAGGTCGCGGACCTCGCTCTGTGGAAATTCGCTGACGATTTTGAAAGTTCGACGTGGTTCCACCAGAGTGCCAGTTGAAGGAGTTTGTGCAGCGGCTAGCCGCATCCGACTTGAATTTGAATGCGGAGCTGGAGAGTATCGGTTACGCCCAGAAAGTATCATAGGAGGAGTTCGCGGCGAGGATCCAAGGTGCAGACGCTGCTCGTTGTCGTAGGTGGTTGGAATAACATGTGACTGAAGCCTTAAGGGGAAGTCTCAAACTAAACACGTGATCTAGAGCCCAGGGTCTCTCTCGACAGGCGACGGGGGGTTGAGCTGCCGTACCGTCGGAATTTGGCTATAAAGTGTTTCCTGGAGTCTTCGGGACATCTGGCAATTCTGTGGACATCCAAGAGATGTCCGTTGACTAGTCTCTCCGCAGAATGCCCTATGTGTGGGTCTGCATCCTCTGCTGATGACAAAACCACAGATGAAGCACATGGCAACACGTTGGCTTATTCCTAACCACCCTGCGGTGTTGTGTCCTCGTCTTGAAGCGACAGCGCCCCGCGCTCTCCTTCCTTCTCCTCCTCATTCTCCCCCTTCCTCCCTCCTCCTGAGCTCGCCCGAGCCGCGCCGACGCGCCGCAGGGCGTAATTTATGGTAGGCCTTCCCTTCCCTCTCCTCTCCCTCCTCCTGTCTCTGCCTCGTGCCCCCCGCGTGCCCACCCGTTCGGCCCCCCCCTCACACGCCTCGTGGCCCCACATTGAGCTGCACCGCAGGCCCCAGCGCACCCGCATCCAGTTCGGCACGCCCCTCACGTGGATCTTGGCGCCTCTGCCCCCCGCGTGCCCACGCTTTCGGCACCCCCCTCACGCGCCTCGTGGCCCCACATGGAGCTGCACCGCGGGCCCCCGCGCACCAGCGGCCGCCCGGCGCACCCGCTTCCAGCTCGGCACGCCCCTCGCGTGGATCTTGGCTCCACAGGGGGAGCCCCGCCGCGGAGCCCCCGCCGCGGAGCCCGCCTGGCGTGCGCACCCGGCTCGGCACGCACACACACACACACACACGCACACGCACACACACCTCACACACACACACACCACACACACACACACCTCACACACACACACGCACACACACCACACACACACACACACACCTCACACACACAACACACACCACACACACACCTCACACACAACACACAACACACACAACACACACAACACACACACACCACACACACACGCCTCTCTCTCACACACACACACACACACTTCGCACGCTCCGTGGCCCCATTAGGGAGCCCCGCCGAAGGCCCCAGCGGCATGCGGCGTCCTCGCGGCGTACCCGCACCCACTCGGTATACCCCTCACACGCTTCATGGCCCCATGGGGAGCTCCACCGAGGGCCCCAGTAGCAGCGTCCGCATGGCGCGCTCGCACCCGAATCGGCACACCCTTCACACGCTTCGTGGCGCCATGGGGAGCCCCAGCCGAAAGCCCGAGCGACAACGTCCGCATAGCGCTTCCGCACCCAAGTCGGCACACCCCTCACACGTTTCGTGGCCCCACAGGGGGATCCACCGCAGGCCCCAGCGACAGCGTCCGCATGGCGCCCCTGCACCCAATCCGGCACAACCCTCACACGCTGCATGGCCCCACAGGGAGCTCTGCCGAAGGCCCCAGCGGCAGCGTCCGCGCGGCGTACCCGCACCCAAATCAGTACACCCCTCACACACTTCGTGGCCCCATATTGAGCTTCACCGCAGGCCCCAGCGGCAGCGTCCGCGTGGCGTACCCGCACCCAGGCACACCCCTCACACGCTCCATGGCCCGAAGGCCCGAGCGGCAACGTCCGCATGGCGCACCCGCACACAATTCGACACGCTCCTCACACGTTTCTCGGCCTCATACGGAGCTCCACCGAAGGCCACAGCGGCCAGAGTCCTTTACCTGCACGCGATACTCGCAGTATACATACCCATACGACCGCCCTGCGGGCGATAAGGAGGTTGGGGGGGATTGATATCAAATGCCCACCCGGACTGACCTCCAGCCTGTCACCTTGATCTCATCTCTCTCTTTCTCTCTGTGTCTCTCTCTCTCTCTCTTTCTCTCTCTCTCTCTCTCGCCCTCTCTCTCCCTCCCTCTCTATCAGAGTCTCCCTCCACCGCAATGATTTATCGTGATGACCATGAGATCCCACTATCTACCTATCCGTCGACCGACCTATCGGTGAATCTCACTGTCGATCTCACTATCGATTTCAAAAGCAAGATGGGAAAGCCCGCCGCAGGCGCTGAAGAACGATTTGTTGTCGGACAAGCACAGGACAACCATCGGCACAACTATGGATTGGATAAGATAAGCTGGATTGGATAAGAAAGCCCGCCGCAGGCGCCGACAAAAATGAATTGATGGATTGGGTTGGATGGATTGGATTGGATGGGATAAGATGGATTGGATAAGATAAGATGGGTTGGATTGGAAGAAATGGATTGGATAAGGTAAGATGGATTGGATTGGCCCGCCGCAGGCGCAGAAACAAATGAATTGATGGATTGGATTGGGTGGGATAAGATAAGATGGGACAATATGGGTTGGATCAGATAAGACGGATTGGATTGGACAATATGATTGGATCAGATAAGCTGGATTGGATAAGAAAGCCCGCCGCAGGCGCCGAAAAACATGAATTATGAAATTAGCGACATGCGTTAGCGCCGGGACGCCCGGGACACCCGGGACACCCGAGACACCGCCCGGCCCAATTGGGACACTTCCCAGCCACCGGCGGACGGGAAACGGACTTTCCGCTCCTACTGACACCTGGGACACCGCGGGACACCGCCCGGCCCAATTGCAGTGGGACACCTCGCAGCCACCGGCGGACGGGAACGGACTTTCGCTCCTACTTCGGCCTAGCTACAGGAGGATCCCGCGCAGCTTCGCCTCGCCCGCACGCACGACACGAGCACGAAACCGAAGCCGACTTCCCGGCGGGGGGTCTCCGTTTCACTGCGATCTCACCCCCCAGCTTCCGATGACGGGGGACTGGGTCTGGGGGCCGGGCGCTGGACCCTCGACCACAAATGTCGGGCCAGTCGAAAGGGGGGGATTGGGAAAGGGGGAGCTACGAAATTTGCTGCATGCAGCTAGTTTCGGCCCTATCGAGGGGCCCATTCCTCGATACCGCCTCCCGGCGCCGGGAGGCGCCGGGGAAATCAGCTACGTGAGCTGATTCTCAAACCCCTCCTTTGCTATCCCCCCCCTTTCGCCCGACGCGAAAATGTGGGGCCAGGGGCCCGGGCCCGCCTCCGGGAGGCCTAGAATCGCCCCGGGGAGCCCTGAGACAGCAATCCGGGCGGCCCCAGACGGTCTCGAGACACCCCGACGCCGTCCAGGGGTCTCTGGCGACGCACGATGCGTTTGAAACTGCCCCGGAGGCCCCCAAGACGCCCCAAGAGGCCTTTAAGATGCCGCCCAAGAGCGCCCCGAGAGGGCAAAATCGTTGATTTTGATTGGTTTCATTGTAGTGGCCTCCGGCCAGTGCCGCCGATCCGGGGCGCTCCGCAAGATGATGATCGGGATGATGCTGCAGGGGAGAGGGCAGGGGAGGGGGTCTGCTCTGCAGGGGGAGTCCGCTCGGCAGAGGGAGGGACTGCAGGGGAGAGGGGTGGTCCGCTCTGAAAGAGGGGGGGGCTGCAGGAGAGGAAGTCTGCTCTGCAGGGGGGGGGGGCAAGGGAGGGGAGGGCGTCCGCTCTGCAGGGGGGTGCTGCACGGAGCGGGGTCCGCTCTGCAGCGGGAGGGGGGGGCTGGGCTGCAGGGAGGGGGGGGCGGTCCGCTCTGCAGGGGGGGGGGGTCCGCTCTGGGAGGAGGGGGGGCTGCAGTAGGGGCGGGTCTGCTCTGCAGAGGGGGGGGTGAGGGGGGAGGGGGGATCCGCTCTGCAGGGGGGGGGCTGCAGGGAGGAGGTCCGCTCTGCAGGGGGGGGTGCTCTGCAGGGGGGGGGGGATGCAAGGGGGGGGGGGGGGGGTCGCTCTGCAGTGGGGCGGGGGGGGGCTACAGGGGCGGGGTCCGGGGGGGGGTGGGTGGGAGTGGGAGGGGGAGCGTCCGCTCTGCAGGGGGGGGGGGGGGGGGGGGCCACGGAGCGGGGTCCGCTCTGCAGCGGCGGGGGGGGGCTGGGCTGCAGGGAGGGGGGGTGCGGTCCGGTCTGCAGGGGAGGGGGGTCCGCTCTGGGAGGAGGGGGAGCTGCAGGAGGGCGGGTCTGCTCTGCAGAGGGGGGGGGAGCAGGGGAGGAGAGGGGGATCCGCTCTGCAGGGGGGGGGGGGGGGGCTGCAGGGAGGAGGTCCGCTCTGCAGGGGGGGGGGGGGTGGGGGGGTAAGGGTGACATTTAAGAGTATGTGGCCTGCCGCTTTTCTCAGCATCATGATCACCATCATCATCATCATCATCATCTCATCATCATCATCATCATCATCATCATCATCATCATCATCATCATCATCATCATCATCGTCATCGTCATCGTCATCATCATCATCATCATCATAATCCTTTTCATCCCCCTCCGCATGTTCCTTCTCGTATTATTCGTCCTCCACATTTCCTTTCTTTTCCGCGCCATCAAAACAGTAAGACATCCGCACAATCAAAACAGTAACAAACCCATACAATCCCAAACAATTAGAAATCCATACAACCAAAAACAATCAGAAACCCATACAATCAAAAACAATCACAAATCCATAAGATCAAAAACAATAACAAATCCATACAATCAAAAACAATAAGAAATCCGTACATTCAAAAACAATGAGAAATCAATACATTCAAAAACAATCAGAAAACGCCTTGGGTCCCCGAACCCTGTGAGGGTACCAAAAAAAACAAAAATCAATTGTTTTCGTGTCTTCGGGCTTCCTCCGGGCCCCTCCAGCTAACAAATCCATACAATCAAAAACAATAAGAAATCCGTACAATCAAAAACAATAAGATATCCATACAATGAAAAACAATCAGAAAACGTCTTGGGTCCACGAACCCTGTGAGGGTACCAAAAAAACAAAAAAAAAAAAAAAAAACCTGTGAGGGTACCAAAAAACCAAAAAACAATGGTTTTCGCGTCTTCGGGCTTCCTCCGGGCCCCTCCAGCCCAGATCCGCCCAGGCAGCCTGAAGGCACGAAAACCATTGTTTTTTGTTTTTTTTGGTACCCTCACAAGTTTATTTGTTTTTTTTTTTTTGTTTTTTTTTGTTGTTGTTTTTTTTGGTACCCTCACAGAGTTTGTGGACCCAAGACGTTTTCTGATTGTTTTTGATTGTACGGGTGTCTTATTGTTTTTGATTGTACGGATTTCTTATTGTTTTTGATTGTAGGGATTTCTTATTGTTTTTGATTGTATGGGTTTCTTATTATTTTTGATTGTACGGATTTCTTATTGTTTTTGATTGTATGTATTTGTTATTGTTTTTGATCGTATGGGTTTCTTATTGTTTTTGATTTTACAGGTTTCTGATTGTTTCTGATTGTATTGGTTTCTTATTGTTTTTGATTGTATGGGTTTCTTATTGTTTTTGATTGTATGGGTTTCTTATTGTTTTTGATTGTAGGGTGTTCTTATTGATTTTCATTGTGGAGGCTTCTTATCATTTCTCATTGTACCGGCCCCCTCCTCTCCACTACTTATCCCTTCTCCTCCCCCTCCGTCCTGACCTGGGAAGCGAAGAGGCGGAGGGGGAGGAGGAGGAGGAGGAGGAGGAGGAGGAGAGACGATGATGATGGTGATGACGACGACGGTGATGACGATTAGGATTATGATGACGATGATGACGATGATGATGATGACGATGATGATGATGATGATGTGATGATGACGAGGGCGAGGGCGATGACGAGAAGGGATGATAATTGCGATGATGATGATGATGATGATGATGATGATGATGATGATGATGATGATGATGATGATGATGGTGACAACGCGGCAGAGGACGAGGATGAAGGGAGACCATGATGATGGCGATGATGATGATGGTGATGATGATGATGATGATGCTGATGATAATGATGATGATGATGATGATGTGGAGGAGGAGGAGGAAGAGGAGGAGGAGGATGAGGATACATGATGATGATGACGATGCGCAGGAGGAGGGGGATGAGGCGGCGTGATGATGCTGATGATGTCGATGCTGAGGATGACGAGGCCGCCTCAGCCCCGACTGCGCTGCCTCGGTGCAGCCTGGCGGATGCGACGGTCGAGAAAAGACTAGGCTGCGCCGCCAGGTGTCGCGCGCGCCTCTATGGCTGTCCATGAGGCGTGGGTACATTCAGCTGCCGCCGGTTGTAATCGGATACGTTTACCTCTTCGCGGGGGAGATCATCAGGGTGCCCGACTGGGCACACTGGTACACCACGTGGGGAGTCCGCTACATTTCGAGGGCCCGCGCGCCGCTGCCCGGTGCAATCTGAGCGGGGCGCTTTCAGGGGGGGGGCCGCGCTGCCTTGCATGGCCAGGGCGGCGATCGCTTCTTTCTCTCGGGGGACGCAGCGGCGCGCAGGGGGTCGACCGCCGCTAAAACGCAATGCTTCATGCTCGGGCCCAGATCCCCCCCCTCTCCTCGGCGCCCCACTGCCATCGCCCGCAGCTGCGCGGGAGCAAAGCGCGCGCGGGAAGTATTCCGCCGCTCCCCCCATCCCCCAAGTCGGCCTTCGGCATGGCTGACGCCGACGCCCGCGACGAGCTCGGCCGCGTGCGCGCCGCATGTCGGGCGACGCTGATGCTTGTCGAGGAGAACCGACTGCCTAAATTCGATCGGCTCGATCCAGATTTTTGTGTTTGTCGATGCTTCGTCAGTCGAAGGGGGTTGGCGTTTCCTATGTGAGTAGTACCCGGCGTCGCTGCTGCTAATTGCCATGCGGCCAGGAGAAGCTGGACATGGTCGCGTACCAGCACACTCTCGTCCTGAAGAAGCACTTGTTCTGCAAGGCTTAAATGGCGATTGTGCACTGGGACGTTCAGATCCCTGACACCGTACTCGGTCGCATCGTCTCTTTCCTGGCGCCTTCGATGCAGGGCTGGGTCACCCTCCCGAACATGGAGGCGGCCGATCATGACCCCGTGCTTCCATACGCAGGAGGCTTAGATGCCCTGATTTTTCTTTTCGGAGGTTTTGCCGCTCCGCCCGCCAGATCGCGCGCCATGCGTCGGCGATGCCGCGTGGCGCGCGGCACCTGGTTCCCCTCGAGTCGCATGCTCGACGAGCGATTCGAGACTCGCCGCGCGGCTCCGATCGACGATTTCACAAAAGAAGTGCCTAAATCCGTTCTTGTAGTTTTGGGGGCCCTGCCAAGGACCAGCTCCACTTCATGCACGGGTGCCTGGCCATCGAGGCCGAGTACCCGGTCGACGAAGTGGACATCGAGAGTGACTTGGCTCGCGTGGGGGTCAAGTTGCACCTCCTGCGCACGCAGGACCTTAGTTGTTGCTACAAACGTTGGAGGCGTTTTCTTTCCGTTTTCCATTTCTCGTTATTGACCCGACCAACGCGTTCTAAAAACGACACCCCGGAATGCGGGCTCCACGCTGGCGGCATTGTGATATAACAAACACAATAAAACACGTATTGGAAACAGAAATGAAACGAGCAGGTGGGCCACAGGCCGACCCCGGGGTTGCACGTGCCAGAAACGGTGCCCAAAACAGAAAGAAAACGCAGACCTGGAACACGGAACAAAAACGGCCCCGGCGTGTTAAGACCATCTAAGCGCAGGACTCGATGCTGAGCGCGATGTACCTCCGTTGCGTCAACTTCCACAACGGCGTGGACGCCGCCATATCCCGCCTGAGCGCCATGCGCGTCGGCTGACGGATCAGTCAGCAGAGTAGGTCTGTGTCATTCTAGGAATCTGTCAATGGGCACTGGCTTGCCCCTGTACTCAGGCAGTAATTTGCTGGCTCTGTTCACGCGGCAATATGTGTGTGGGGCGCGTTTGCGGCGGGGCCTCGGTGCGAAAACGATGCGTGCGGACAGATGCCAGCGGTGCCGCGGATTCGTGGCGCATCTGGAGCAGAAGTAGCATCAGCAGATCACCTAGTAGAAATAATGATACGACGCTGCTGTATGCGTAAGGTCAGGGGGAGGTGTAGGACAATGAGCAAACGCACGAGCATGACCTAAGTATTATAGTAGTATTTACATGAGTACAGATACGGCCACTACTGCTAGACCCGATGTTTTCGAATGCGCGCGCCACAACCGTGCACGCGAGCAAGCTCACGCCATGAGATGCCGCGCGGAAAAACAAACGTCTCGGCGCGAGCAAACAGCGCAGGTCACATACTCTCAAATGTCACCCCCACCCCGCGGGGGGGGGGGGGGCTGCAGGGGCGGTGGTGCAGTGGGAGGGGGGTTCGTTTCTGCAGTGGGGCGGGGGGCTACAGGGGGGGTCCGCTCTGCAGGGGGGGGGGGGGGGCTGGCCTGCAGGAAGCGGGAGGGGGTGTTCTGCAGGGGATGGGGGGTTCCGCTCTGGGAGGGGGGGGGGGGGGGGGGGGGGCGAAGAGCTGAATTAGGTCGGAAATGAGGCCCCCCCCCCTCCCCCGAAGCACTGAATTAGGTCGGAAATGAGCCCCCCCCCCCCCCTCCGCAGAGCGAAGCCTGCGCGAGCTCAAGCCCACGCCCTCAGAAACTCACGCGCCGGATCGGCGGATTTTCGATGTTTTTGTTTTGTTTGTTGTCCGGCGTTGAAGCACCGCCCAAGAGGCCCCCAAGACCGCTCCAAGACGGACCCAGAGGCCCCCAAGAGAGCCCCAAGACGGCCCGAGAGAGCTCCGATCCGTCGCCATTTTGGCTCAATCAATTTTGGCTCAAGCCCTTCAGACCACACAAGTCGCATCGAGCTATTTGTAGTACTGCACACATACGTGATAAGGTTAATCCATGGCGTTCGAGGCTATTTCTCACCTTGTTCTATTTGCTAATTTCTTTCAGCAGCTGCAGGCTTTGACGCTGCATGATGCCGCAGATGAGGCACTGCTCAGGCGTGCTGGTCATGGTGGTGCAGCGGAAGATGCCGACAGCCACAGTGGCATGGTAGACCTCCAGTACCTCATGGACCAACACGCCGCGTCGGAGACCGAGCTCCATGCTCGTGCGGCCGATACGTGACGCAAGTTTGCTAGTCAGATGGCCAATAATGGATGCAGCTATCAAGGGGGCTTGCTGCCTTGCCCCAGTGGCAACATCTGTTACTACACGGGGCATGGAAGTTTGAACGTGACGGCCGCGGTAGAGTATCGCGGGAACATTATCAAGACAGTCTTAACCCCCGACCCAGATGCTGCAGTCGACATGCCAGAAATCGTGACGTTCATGGGGGCTGGCGCCAACGATGCTCCTGCAATGTTGATGGACGTACCAGCGGAATACCGCAGAACAGCGAATCCTGTGATGCTGAAGATGTTCTTCGTGGAGGACACCGATCATGTTACTGAGCAATGCCCTCATGACAGTGAGCGCGTGGAGTCCATGGGGAACAGCTCCGCGTCGTACCAGGTTGAGAACAACACGTTCGCAGTTCCAGCGCAAAACCCAAACACGTTCATGGGCATGGCCTTCGATTTCGACAGCGAGGCACCTGTGGGTCACACCCTTGCCTTCGAGATCCCTGCCGGGACGGAGATCGTCTGGGTGAGCCGTGAAGAGATGGTCGAGGTGCTCCAAACGCAAGAGATGCCGGCCTCCCTCGAGAGGCGCTTAGAGGCGCAGTTACGCAAAGCTTCTTTGGCCAAGGGGATGGATGGCGCGCTCACGCAGAAAGGAACCAGGCGGCGTAGGCGGCGCAGGGCAAGGTGCACGGATGGACAGATTGGGTCCATGGCAAGAGGTGCCGCCGCCGTGGGCGTCGCTTTTCTGGTCTGCGCGTTTACTTTCATAGGCTGCTTCACGGCGTCGCCGTTCTTGATGATGGCCGGGACAACGACGGTGACAAGCGGTGCTTGCAACTGCTGGGCTAACGATAATGTTGGGCAGACCTCCTGCGCGTTGCGCTGCGGGCGGCGAGCGGCTGCGAGGGCGCGGTAGCGGTCTCCAGTTGCAGTTGGCGGGCTAGCTGACGATCATGATCCTGCGATACTGCTGGGGGAAAAAAAGACTGCCCGAGAGAGCTCCGAGACGGCCCCAGAGCCGCCCAAGACGGCGCAAGAGGGTCCCAAGAAGGCCCCAAAAGGGCCCAAGAGAGGGAACGCGAACCGAAAAATTAAGCTCTCCGCCCCAAGATGCCCCCAAGAGGCCCCAAGATGTCCCCAGGAAGCCTCCAAGAGGCCCCAAGAGGCCCCCAAGAGACCCCAAGAGGCCCCCAAGAAGCCCAAAAGAGGCTCCAAGAGGCACCAAAACAGCACCCAAGGCTTCAAAACTCTTGCTTCGAGACCTTTAAAGACATGCCAAGAAGGTCCCATGACGACTTCAAGAAGCAGTCCAGGATGCTCCGAGGAGGCCCCGAGAAGCTCGCTAGAACCTGAGCGCGCGCGGAGCGCGCGCGATGGTTCTAGTTGCACATGGCTGTGTCCTTCGCGAGGACAGGTCGTGCCGCGTGGCCATGGCATTGGGCGGGGAAGCGGGGGGTGGATGACCGTATCCAGACTTGGAGCACGGCCGTGCTCTCAAGCATTCGGACGTTTGCGCCAGCTGGTGCAGGGCTGCGCGCTCGGATGCTCCGGAGGCACCCGGCGTGGGCCCGCCCCTGTGGGCTCCCGCGAGGCACGGCGGACGCGGGGAGCACGCAGGCCCCGCCAGGACCTCGGCGCTCCCCGGGTGGTTGCGAGCTGCGCAAGTGGTCGCCGCTTCAGAGCTGGCTCCCGGGAGGTCCAGCGGAGCCGGGGAATTCGCGGATCCAGACGGGACCTCGTTGCTCCTTGGGTGGTTGCGAATTGCGCAATTGTCACCATTTCCGTGGGCTCCTGGAGTACGCAGAGCCTGACGGGACACCGTCGCTCCTGGGGTGGTTGCGAGCTGCGCAGTTGTGCGATTGTCGTGGGTTCCTGGGAGGAGCGGCTGAGTAGGGGAATTCGCGCACCCAGACGAGACCTCGCAGCACTGCGAACCGCTCAAATGTCGCCACTTTGTTGAGCTCAGGCACGGCGGAGTCGGGGAGTGCGCGGACACAGACGGGACCTCCTCGTTGCTCCTTGTGTGGTGACGAATTGCGCAATTGTCGCCATGCTCAAGGGCTGCTGGGAGGCACGGCGGAGTAGGGCAGTACGCGCACCCACTTAAGACCTTGCTGCTCCCTGGGTGGCGGCGGACTGCGCAGCTGTCGCCACTCTGGTGGGTTCCTGGGAGGTCCAGCGGAGTCGGGGGCCGCGCGGACCCGGTTGGGACCTCGTTGCTCGCCGGGTGGGTGCGAATTGCGCAGTTGCCACCCTTTTCGTGGGCTCCTGGGGGGCACCGCGGAGTCGGGGAGTACTGCTCCCTGGGATGCCGCGGACTGCGCAGCTGTCGCCATTTTCGTGGGGGAGGCGGAGTGAGGGGGCCGCGCGGCTCCAGGCGAGACCTCGCGGCTCCCTTGGAGGCTGCGTACTGCGCAGTTGTCGCAAGTGGCGTCGGCTTCAGGTAATTAAGCACGGCGGATTTGAGGCCAGCGCTGATCGCGCATATCTGGCGATGTGTTTTTTGTCTGGCGATGTGTTTTTTGTTTGCGTGGAGCGTTCATACAAATATCCGCCTCGCGTGGAGAAGGGGTTGGGTACGCCTCGGAGAAGCAATTGCTCCATGCCGCCCTCCTCGGGCGCGCGCCTGGACAGCCGACGGGCCAGACGTAGCCGAAGCGAAGCGGAAGACGGGTATTCAGAAATCGTCGTGTGAGCAGTTCCCCCACATTGTTACCTAACAGCGAAGACTGATAGGTTTCGAATGAACTCAAAAGAAAGCATCTTGACTCCTCAGGGGGGTCTGGGCAGATGCCGGACAGGTGCCGGGGAGAATCCGCGGAAGTCGTTTTAAGCAAACAGTTACACACTTCGTGGTCTTCGAGGTCCCAGAACTCCATTCCTGGGCATGATTTTGAATGCCCGGAGCCAACTCACTTCGTGGTCTTCGTGTTCCCAGAACTCCATTCTTGGGTATGATTTTGAATGCCCGGAGCCAACTGTAGGCCACTTCGTGGTCTTCGTGTTCCCAGAACACCATTCCCAGGCCACATTTTGAATGCCCGGAGCCAACTGTAGGCCACGTCGTGTTCTTCGTGTTCCCAGAACACCATTCCCGGGCCACATTTTGAATGCCCGGAGCCAACTGTAGGCCATTTCGTGTTCTTCGTGTTCCCAGAACACTACTCCCAGGCTACATTTTGATTGCCCGGCGCCAACTGTGAGGCTGAGGTTGAGGCAGGCTGAGGCTGAGGCAGGCTGAGACTGAGCCTGAGGCAGGCTGAGGCTGAGGCTGAGGCTGATGCAGGCTGAGGCTGAGAGGCTGACGCTGAGGCTGAGGCAGGCTGAGGCTGAGGCTGAGGCAAGCCGAGGCTGGCTGAGGCTGAGGCTGAAGCTGATGCAGGCTGAGGCTGAGAGGCTGACGCTGAGGCTGAGGCAGGCTGAGGCTGAGGCTGAGGTCGAGGCAGGCTGAGGCTGAGGCTGAGGCAAGCCGAGGCCGGCTGAGGCTGAGGCTGAAGCTGAGGCAGGCTGAGGCTGAGGCTGTGGCTGAGGCTGAGGCAAGCTGCGGCTGAGGCAGGCTGAGGCTGAGGCTGATGCAGGCTGAGCTGCAGGCTGAGGCAGCTGAGTCTGAGGCTGCGGCTGAGGCTGCAGCTGAGGCTGAGGCTCTGAGGCTGAGGCTGAGGCAGGCTGAGGCTGCGAGGCAGGCTGAGGCTGAGGCAGTAGGCTGCAAGGCTGAGGCTGAGGCTGAGCTGAAGCTGAGGCAGGCTGAGGCTGAGGCGAGGCGAGGCAGGCTGAGGCTGAGGGCTGAGGCTGAGGCTGAGGCCGAGGCTGAGGCTGAGGCTGAGGCTGAGGCTGAGCTAGGCCGGCTGATGCATGTGGCTGAGGCTGAGGCCGAGGCTGAAGGCAGACTGAGGCTGAGGCTGAAGCAGACTGAGGCTGAGGCTGAGGCAGGCTTAGGCTGAGGCTGAGGCAGGCTGATGCTGAGGCAGGCTGAGGCTGAGGCTGAGGCTGATGCAGGCTGAGGCTGAGGCAGGCTGAGGCTGAGGCCGAGGCCGAGGCAGGCTGAGGCTGAGGCTGAAGCTGAGGCTGAGGCAGAGGCAGGCTGAGGCTGAGGCTGAGGCAGGCTGAGGCTGAGGCAGGCTGAGGCAGGCTGAGGCTGAGGCAGGCTGAGGCTGAGGCTGAGGCCGAGGCAGGCTGAGGCTGAGGCCGAGGCAAGCCGAGGCAGGCTGAGGCTGCGACTGCGAGAACAGCAGAATTCTACAACTGGATTCTCACCTAAATCTTAAGGGGAATGCTTCCAGATATGCTTCTACACATCGCTGTTAGGTTGCTTTGCCGGGATAATGTTTTTCAATCGCTTCGCTCATTCCGCCGGCCCTGGAGCGCTATTTGGGGCCTCTCGGGGCCGTCTTGGGGGCTTCTTGGGGGCTTCTTGGGAGCGTCTTGGGGCTCCTTGGCGGCGTATTGGGCTCCCCTGGGCCCTCTTGTGGGGCTCTTGGGGGCTCCTTGGGGCGGGAGGGGGTAGTCGTTGGCCCCCCCCTCGGAGGCCACGATCCTCGTGAGGGATGGCGAAAAATAGCCTCCCCCCTGGGGATCGCCCGAGACCCGGCCAGGGATCGGCCGGGGTACTTTTCGTCAGGGGCCCCCCAGGGGCCGCCCCCCGCGCGCGAACTAGAAGTATTGTTAAGTAGTTACCGGAGATCTTAGCACGCCTCTGGCCCGTTGGGCCGGCGAATTGATCGTTGTTTTCAGAGGCGACGGTTCACTTAGCCTAAAAGTCATGCCTGTCTCGCCTTCTGGTCAGCACTCCTCACTCCAGGGGCAGCGATTTGCGTCGCTCCGCCCGGCAACCCGCGAAGTGGGCCGCTTGACCAGGCGCGCATGCGCCAGTCGGGGGCGTCTCGGCCAGGGCACGCTGCCAGTGTTCCGTTCTCGGGCCGCGGGTATCCCAAGAGCTGGTGGCGAGGGGGCGCATGTGGCGCGGCGACCGCGGGGCTGGCCGCCCCTCCCCGAGAGGAGGGGAGGGGCAGAGGGCCGAGAGGTGGCAGTGGGAAGGGGGGACGGATGCACCGAGGGGGGGGGGGGCGGGCAGCTGAAGGAGGGGCATGAGAAAGTCTCGAGTTGGTTCCGTTGTAAAACGTCAGCCCTCGCAAGGAGAGGAAGGGGTGGAGAAGCGGCAGGGGCAGGGGGGGGGACGGGTGCCCCGAGAAGGGGGGGGGCAGGTGAAGAAGGGAACTGGAAATGTCTCGAGTTGACTCTCAGCCCTCGTTGCATGGATCGAGGTTGGTTGTCCCCGCTTTTTCGGGGGGAGGGGGGGCTAGGAGGAGAACGATGAGGTGCACAAAGATGCTGACGAGGGTGCGGGAGGGGGCAGAGGACACGGAAAGGGCACATATAATGATGACAATGCGGGGGGTTCGGCATTCGAGTTTCGAGTTCGCTTCTGCGTCGCCGTCGTCGGCCTCGCCGTCGGCATCGCCCCCGCCGCCGCCCTCGCCGCCGCCGTCGCCGTCGGCACCGCCCTCGCGGACGGCGCCGCCCTCCTCCTCCTCCTCCCTCCTCCTCTCTCCTCCTCATCCTCCTCCCTCCTCCTCCTCCTCCTCCTACCTCCTCCGCCTCTTCCACCGTCCTCCTCCCTCCTCAATCCTCCTCCCCTCCTCCTCCCCTCCTCCTCCTCCTCCTCCCCTCCTCCTCCTCCTCCTCCTCCTATCCCGCCTCCTCCTCCTCCTCCTCCTAATCCATCCTCCTCTCCTCCTCCTCCTCCTCCTCCTCCTCCTCCTCCCCCCTACCCCTCCCCCTCCTCCTCCTCCTCCCTCCTCCTCTCCCCCTCCCCCTCCTCCTCCTTCCTCCGCCTCCTCCTCCCCCTCCCCCTCCTCCTCCTTCTCCTCCTCCTCCTCCTCCTCCTCCTCCTCCTCCCCCCTCCTCCTCCTCCCTCCTCCTCCCCTCCCCCTCCCTCCTCCTCCTCCTCCTCTCCTCCTCCTCCCCCTCCCCCTCCCTCCTTCTCCTCCTCCTCGCTCCTCCTCCCCCTCCTCCCCTCCTCCTCCCCCTCCCCCTCCATCTCAACCCACTCCTCCTCGACAAGCAGCTCCTCCTTGTCGCACCCCTGCCGCGCGGGGCCGCGGCGAGCGCGCGCCCAGGCGGCGCCCACGCGGCGGCTCTCGCCGGCACGCCGCCGCGGCGGCAGAGCGCCGGCGCGCTGCGGGGCGAGGGGGGCGTGCAGCTGCAAGGCGGGCGGGCGGGCGGCCAGGGGGGGGAGGAGGAGGAGGAGGAAGGAGGAGGAAGGAGGAGGAGGAGGAGGACGGAGGAGGAGGGCGGAGGAGGAGGAGGAGGAGGAGGAGGATGAGGAGGAGGAGCGGAGGATGGTCGGAGGAGGGGATGGTGGAGGGGGCGATGAGGAGGAGGAGGAGGAGGAGGAGGGCGGAGGAGGAGGAGCAGGAGGAGGAGGAGGAATAATAGTCAAACTATATTCATACAACGAAGAAGGAAAACAACAATATCAGCATTAATACGAATAAGACTAATAATACGAATAATAATACTACTAATAATAGTATTAATAATACTAATAATAATAATGCTAATAATGCTAATACTAATAACTAGTAAGAACATCATTTGTACTAATGATCATAAGGAGAATACTAATAGTAGTTGTAAGAAGAAGTTTAATACGAAGAAAGAAAAGAAGAGGAGGCGGAGGAGAGGGAGGAGGAGGGGGGAGGAGAGGGACCTGCAACTTGCTGCTCAGCTGTCGGCTGCGTCCAGCACCCGCTGGGGGTCCTGTGGTTGCACTTGTCCACAGCAGGGTGGATAGTTATCATACACACGGAGCTTCCCTGGCAGATTACCACCGCTAGCCGCAGACCCCTGGCGCGTCGCAGGAAGTGCGTGCGTCTGTCAAACTTTCGCTGGATTTGGCCGCCTGCGCCCTTCCAGGCTTTGCAGTGCCGCTGTCGTGCCTTTTTCTGCCCCCCTCGCCAAGGTGCCTTCGCCGTCGGTCCTGGTCGGATGAGCACATGCATCCCTTCGGCCGATGTTGGAAGCACGCGGCTCCATTGCGGCCGCTGCATTTCGACTTGGCCGGCCGCCCGCTCCTCGCCCGCCTTCTCTCCATCCATCCCGCCGCCCGCGCAGCATCGGTGGATCGCCGCAGGCGCCGCGCGCGTTGCAGCCGAGAAGCAGTCCTGTATTTCGTTGTGTCTGAGTGTGGGTGTGTGTGTGTGTGCTGTTTCGCAAGGGTGCTAGTCCACTGCGAGCGCGTCCCGTAGCACTGCCCCCCGATTCGATATTTTGGCGCGTCTGGGCACGACGTGCGTGCGTGAATGAGTGAGTGCGTGCGCGTGTGCGTGAATGAGTGAGTGCGTCTGGTGTGCGTGTGGAGTGTGGTGTGCGCGTGTGCCGTGCTTGCTTCTTGATCATGCTTGAGGCTTCTCCCACCCCTCTCCCTCTCTCCCTCCCCCATCTCCCTCCTCCCCTCCCCTCCCCCACTCTACCCCTCCCCCCTCACCCTCCCCTCACCTTGTCCCTTTCGCCGCTCTAACCCCCCCCCCCTCCTCCCTCCTCCCTCCTCCCTCCTCCCCTCCCCTCCCCTCCCCTCCCCCACTCTACCCCTCCCCTCCCCTCCCTCCCCTCCCTCCCCCTCCCCTCCCCTCCCCTTCTCCCTCTGCCCCCTCCCCCTCGCCCCCCGCTGCTGCGCCGCCCCTCTGGCCAGGCCGAGGCTCCGGCGAGGGCTCCCCCTCCGCGCCCTTCTCGCAGCTCGGCCTCCGGGGGTCCCCGCCCCGGGGCGGCTCCGCCGTGGGCTCCGCCGTGGGCTCCGCGGTGGGCTCCGCCGTGGGCTCCGCCGTGGACCGCCTCGCCCGCGGAGAGG